TGAGAGAGAGAGAGAGAGGGAGAGTGGGAGAGAGAGAAAGCAGGAAGAGAAAGGTTTGGCTTAGGTCACGTAAAAACGAGAACGAGAAGAATCAGGCAACAAAAATAAAGCGTCCTTTTTTCTATTGCTCATTTGAGTGAAATTCCCGAACCCCAGGGCAGCATCCTGCAATCGCTGGGGTGGGGGAAATACGAGTTGTGCATGTCCCCGCCAGTGACCACAGCGTCCTGTAGTCAAAGGCAGGGTGGAACCTCCCACACACAGGTGTGATTTCAAGTGAGTAAAAATGGGTTAGGAGAGGTTCTGCAATGTGGTGCATGACCAAGTAAGAGAGTGGGCCCAGAGGCCCAGATGGACCGGGAGTGGAGAAGAATGGAGAGGCCTAGATGAAGCTCAGAGTAGCTAGTGAACAGAGGGAGAGGAGAGAAAGAGAGAGGCGAGGAAGGGAAGGGAGCTGAGGTAGGGAAAAGGATTTGAGTAAGACGGGGAGGCAGGTCTGACTCCCAGGTGGGTGTGGACAGACACAGTAACTGTGCCGGGCAGTTCAACAGCTGCAGAAACCAGTGCCGTCCAGTGGCCTTGAGTGAGGTCCGGGAGTGACCGAATTTGATTGGAAAGGAGATGAAAAGAGAACTGGCGGAGAGCAGTGAAGGGGACGGAAAGGGGAGAGAGAGAGAGAGAGAGGGAGGGAGAGCTGAAAGGAACGGGAGAGGGGAGAGAGATAGAGGGTGGAAGTGTACCTTAATGCCGAATTAGTGGTGTTCGCAGAGGCCAGTAATGACAAGCGAGTCCGAAAGTTTACATGCGAGGTCCCTTCAAGTAAGATCCGAGTCACGGCACCATCTGATAGGTAGAGATTGGGTGGGAGCGAGTGGCGCGGATGGAGAGCACAAGTGGCTGGATGAGGCATGGAGGCTCAGATGGAATTCTCAGTGCCTCAGGGAAAGATGGGAAGGGAAGGGAAGGGGAGGGGAAGGGAGGGGAGGGAAGGGAAGGGAAAGCAGGGAAGGGAAGGAAAGATGCCAGGGAAAGATGTCAGCCCACGGGTTGTGAGCTGGGACTTTATATATGGGGGCTTTAGGGTGTGGAAGTGTTTACTTTTTCTCTCTTAAGATGAGAGAAAAACAGCTTGTTGTGATAAACGGCTTCTAAAATCTCTGGTTAACAGGTAGAATCTGCTTATCTTATCTTTGGAGATCAGAGGAAAGGCAGGCTACTTCTCAGCAGAGTTTGTTTCCCTTGATTCCAAAGGTCAAGGTGAGGTCCCTGTTGGGGAGGGGGGAAACTGCTGCTATTTGGAACCCTAACAAGGATCAGACCAGGCAGGGCCAGGGCAGGTGTGGGAGCCCCCTTGGAAAGGCCAAGCTCTGTAGATTCTATCCCCAGCACCACAAAAAAAAAAAAAAAAAGAAATTTAATAGAGGCCCTACTGCCAACCTTGGGGAACATCTGCCTTGTGTGTAGACAGGTGGCAGGCAGCACTGAAAGGGGCTATTGCCACATGGGTCACTGTGCTTGCCAGGAGATGAAAGCTGTTCTTGAGTGCTGGAGTTAAGTAAGGCAACGAAGAGCCCTATAGAGTAAAGATGGGGTAGACTATTACAGGTCAGGAGAACTCTCATATCCATTTTCCCCAAGACTCGGAAAGGGCATTGGTGGTTCTTATGTTTCTGGTCGTTTGGTTTTGTTTGAGACAGGGTCTCCCTGCAGCCCCAGCTGGCCTGGAACTCTGTGTATAGAACAGGCTGGCCTTGATCTCACAGAGGTCTGCCTGCCTCTGCCCCTGGGACTAAAGGCATACCCCACCACACCTTGCTTTCTTTTTTTTATTTTAATTTTAGGCGTTTGGGTATTTTTCCTGTGTGTGTATGTGTCCTACTATGGCTGCAGGGCCCAGAAGGGGTGTTGGATATACTCGAGGGTTGTGGGTACTGGGAACCAAACCTAGGTCCTTTGCTAGAATAATCAATGTTCTTAACTACTGAGAAATGTCTGTGGCCTCTTTTTGTCCTCTTGGTGGAACAACTTGGTTGAAAAACTGTTTGCAGTCTAGGACTCCTCAAGGGCTAACTGGGAACAGGTGTCAATGAATGGCAGGTTGGCCTGCCTAACCAATGCAGAAGCCAGCCAGTTTCCTCTGTAGTGACAGCTACTCCCTGGGGACACCAGCTTCAGATGATAGGAGAATCAGGACCTCCTGGCCTCTGTCATTGCCTAGCCGAGCCTTACGTCTGTTGCTGTGATAAAATATCATGACAGAAAATACCTGAGTAGTACAGGGTTCACGTTCATCTTCACTCAGTTCCAAGTCAACAGTCTGTCGTTGCAGGACAATCAAGGTAGAAACTTGAAGCTAGTCACGTCACAGTGAAGAGCAGAGAGAGAAGACTGACTTGTACCCCCTGCTCAGTCTACTTTCTTAGTACCTACTGGATTGAGTAATCCAGGACCAAACCAGGGAATGGTACTGCCCACTTTTATGCTGGCTCTTCCCACAGCAGTCAGCCCAAGCCAGACAATCTCTCATTGAGACTTTTCCTAGATGATTCTAGACTGTATCAGGTTGGCAGTTAAAACTCACCAACAGGGCCAGGCCTGGTGGCCCCCACACCTGTAATCACAGCACTCAGGAGGCAGAGACAGGGGGACCTCTGAGAACCCGGCCAGCCTGGTCTAAATAACAAGTTCCAGACCAGCCAGCACTATAGCAAGACCCTGTCTACAAAATAAGTAGTAACAACACCAACAAATCATGCAGGAGACAATACAAAATGCCCAAACACATGAGAAACTTGACAGTCTTTTGAGAATTATGAAGTTTGTACAGAACAGTTTTGAATGGAAATGATTTTAAAACCACCCCAAATACTGCTTTCTGCAGTAGTGTCAACTCATAGCAAGAAATAGTTTCAGAACCCTTATAAGTAAGCCTGCTGTGCTAAGGAGCCTCTTGCATTACTAATACTGGACTTGCTGAGCTAGCCAGGCCTGCCTTGGACGCTTGACTGCAAAAATCCCTTTCTGTACCTGTGCCTGCCCGTCTGCAATTCATGTGCACATTGGAGCTGAACCACACCCTCACTGCTGTCAAGAGGGCCCTGCTTCACACACTCTGTTGCAGAGGGCTGGGCTGTTGCTCTTTGGGGGTCAGCTGGCTGATGCTTTAAAGTGGTCAGAAACTCAGAGAATCCCACAGCAAGAGCATGCCAGGTACAGGAGTCCTGGCTAAACCACATCCGTGGCTTGAAACCCCCTGCCTGCTCCTGGAAGCTGGAAGCCCATTTGTCTCAAGCAGAAGGCGTGTGTCATGCTCTCCTCGGCCACAGCTCTCCCTACAGGTCTGGTGTCTTGAAGGAGTAGAGGACATTACTGTGTGTGCTCACACAGGACTACTTCGTGTCCTTCCTATCCTCGTTGGCAGAGTCCCAAGGGAAGAGGGCTGGGACTTGTAGGGTCTGGTGCTGCTGTAAGGGTGGTACCTGTTCAGGGCAGATGCCTGGGAGGGGCAAAACTCCTGCATTAGATGCACTGCAGGATGTTGCAGCCTCCACCCTTGAGATAGAGGCAGGGCGTTGCACTTGGGCTGTCCTGCCCCCGGAGGCTCGAGAGGCCAGAGTTTCCCTGGCTGCAGAAGTTGCATGTTCCCACTGCCGTTTTCTGGGACAGCAACCAGCAGTGATGGAGGCAGGGGGATCCCCAGGGAGCACCTTGGTGCCCAGAGTAGGGCCTATGGGTAGCCTGCTCTTTTCTCTTTTTGTGGTACTAGGATGGAACCCAGGGCCTCGAGCTTGCTAGGCCACCCCTGACCACTGAGTTACACCTGACCCAGTTTGAAAATTTTTTAGAAAGTATTGTTATAAATTCTTTGAAAATCTAATTTGATGATACCACACACAACAAACACATTACTCTTCTGAACTCCCATATCTGTTCACCCCAACTTCATGTGGGTTTTTTTTGTTTTTTTTTTAATAACCCATTGAGTCTGATTTGTACTCATGGATGTGGGGGCATCCACTGAATAGTGAGAAAATCAGGAGTTGCATGGCATCTACCTATAACCCATGCGTAGTTCAAGGGCATTCTTTGCTACATAGCAAGTTTGAGAAAGAAGGAAAAAGCAAAGAAAAAGGTAATGAAGAATGCAGGGTGCTGTTGGGGTGTTGGCAGGTACAATTCCAGAGCACACTGAGGCAAGGCCAAGGTGGACCAGGAAGGAGCCATTCCTTCCCTGCCTGCAGATGTCAGCTTCATTGGGGTGGGAAGAATTTCCATCCCATCCACTGGCTTCTAGGGACTCTGAAGGGCTGGTTGCCCTAAGTGTCCAGTGATTTGACCATGAGGCAGGTGAACTGTGGTCCCTTCATCCAGATCAGAGAACTTGGGGAAGTTGATTCCCTCCTCTGCTGGTTGTTGGGACTTTGTTCTCCTAGGTCCCCTGTCCTACCTTCTTGTGAATGGCCTGGCTTCTTCCTGCCCTCAGATCTTACTCTTGATGAGTACACCAGGGGCAGCTGGCCAGTGTGGCCTTTGGCATCTTTTTCCACCCTATGGAAAGCCCCAGGCCACAGCTGGGCTTATCCTCATTTCTCCTGGGGTCTGTGCCAGATGCTCCCAAGGCCAATGGGTCAGTGCCACCCGCAAGAGACATACCTGTGGGTGCTGTGTCCTCAGGAAGCCCCGTGAGTCCTTTTCACACACATGATAAAGTGCGGCTCCCGTGATGTAGAAAGCAGGGTGACCTGGGGCACGTGATGGTGTTCTGTGGGTGGTTCCTGCCAGAGCTGGGGCTCAAGAGAAGTCACCAAGGCTTCACACGCATCCCACCACTGAACCTGGTTCCCTCTTGGGATGATTCTAGAAGTCTCTGGACCTCACACACTTAAGAAATAACCACCAGAACTTTAGATTCTCTTCTTCTGCCCTCATATGGTGGTGGAGTGTCTCTCTGGGGTGACAGACAGATGCCTAGGAGTGACACGCACCATGTCACCTTGCAGTAGTAGTGGACGTCAGCTCAGTGAGGTGTTCATTCAGCTGCCTTCACGCAAGGAGCTGCCTGAGTACTACGAGCTCATCCGCAAGCCTGTGGACTTCAAGAAGATCAAGGTGCGTGGCCAGGTGGGGGTTGCAGGGCAGGGATCATGGGTCAAATGATGAGCCACTGGGAACCTGGGGCTGTGCAGGACATTTCGGATCAACCCAGCAGAGAAGGCCCAGGCCAGCATGGTGGCTGCTGGGGACTCATCAGAGCCCAAGCCTTTAGCCATGCAACAATGATCTTGGGAAGCAGAGCAAACACAGTGGAGGTGGTCGGGAGGTCTCAGGTGCCTGGTGGGTAAGTGCTGCTTCCCTCCCCACAGGAGCGCATCCGCAACCACAAGTACCGCAGCCTGAATGACCTGGAGAAGGACGTGATGCTGCTGTGCCAGAATGCACAGACCTTCAACCTTGAGGGCTCCCTGGTGAGCGTGCTGGCCATTGGCCTGCCTGCTGTCCCTTTGTGATCAATCGGGTTTATTTGTCTGATTCGTGCAGTATAGGCTGCTCAGCTGCCTCGCTGCCCCCAATAGTGCTAGGTGCCTTTACCTTTTCATTTGGCTGCCTGCCAGCCCTGCTGTCTGTTATAGTTGTACCTCAGGTTCCCAGCAGCTGTCCTGAAAGGCACTTTGTGCCACATGTAAATAATGTCATTGCAGACCTTGTCAGGACCTTGAGAAATTGATGCACTGAGGGAGGAACCTGAGGCGCTCCACACCAACCTTTCAGCCCCTTGTTCTTGGGTGAGATTGGGGCTCCCCAGCCATTCAGGCCCCATGTCCTCCCCAGATCTACGAGGATTCCATTGTCCTGCAGTCCGTCTTCACCAGCGTGCGGCAGAAAATCGAGAAAGAGGATGACAGTGAGGGCGAGGAGAGTGAGGAGGAGGAGGAGGGCGAGGAAGAAGGCTCCGAGTCCGAGTGTGAGTCTGAGGGGTGGCAGGAGTGGGGCAGCCTGCACTGACCTGAGTTGAAAGCGTGTGGGTCCCTGACTACAGTGTGCTTCCATCTCACCCCTCAGCACGCTCTGTCAAGGTGAAGATCAAGTTGGGCCGCAAGGAGAAGGCTCAGGACCGACTGAAGGGGGGCCGGCGGCGGCCCAGCCGTGGATCCCGGGCAAAGCCAGTCGTGAGTGATGATGACAGTGAAGAGGAACAAGAGGAGGTAAGACCACTGTGGCCCCCCATCAGGCCATACACACAGGTAGTCCCAAATCCAGGCCACATCCCCACCGTGCAGGTGAGGAAACAGGCTAGGAATTGTGCAGTCCTGCCTGGGTCACATGTTCGCGTGTTGCAACTCACACAGAGGACCCAGTCTGCAGGCCTTATTGCCTAGCACAGGCTGCAGGGCAGCCTGGTGCCTGTCCAGGGAAAGCTAGGAATACAGGTTGCTGGTGCCACCGCAGGCCCCTAGGCAGTGGAGATGTGCCTTTCTGTCCTTCCACCGTGCAACAGGTCAGGTCCATAGGCTTTTCTGCTCCAGCCTGTGTGTGGCCATTTCCATAGAACCCCAGTACTTGAGAAACAAAAACAACTCCAGGCCTGCAAGTGCACAACTAGGGTCCCAGCACAAAGGAGATGAAAGCAGGAGGATCAGGACTTCGCGGCCTGGGCTACTTGAGACCCTGTCTTACACAAACAAAAAGAACGTGATGGGGGATGCTTTTAATCTCAGCTCTCAGGAAGCAGAGGAAGGCAGAGCTCTGTGAGTTTGAGGCCAGCCTATTCTACAGTCAGGGCTACATAGTGGGACCTTATCTCAAAAAAGAGATAAAAAGAAAGAAAATTACAGTAACAGGACATGTGTACACACCAGTGCTGCTCTAAAGAGCTAGCAGCCTGGCGGGAATCTGCAGTGGCCTGCCTCTTCCCTAACCTGTTTGCTCATGCACACACGGTATCCAGTGGTGTCAGGACTGTTATGTGCAGGGCAGGTCCTGTTTGGGTTGCTGTTTTCTTTCTGATGTCTCCTTGGGATTAGAGATCCATAGGCCCTTCTGGGACATTGGAACAGCCATGACATGGAAAGATGTGGCTTAGAGTACACAGCTGACTCACACTCTGTCCCTCTGTCCCCCTGTTCCCCTCCAGGACCGCTCAGGAAGTGGCAGCGAGGAAGACTGAACCAGACATTCCAGAGTCTTTACCCCAGCCTCGTCCGAGCTGAGTCAGAGTAGCCCTTAGCAGTAACGGGTAGCAGCAGGTGTAGTTTCAGACTTGAGGAACTGTAAACAAGCAATCTTCCATATTTATGCAGCAGAGAAGAGTAGCCTGTTTGTGTCTGGCCCTGTCCTGGCCTCACGTCTGTACCAGCATTAACTGTCTAGAGAGGGGACTGCATGGGATCTCCCCACAGCCCCTGTCACTATAGCTCGGTGTGGATGCAGTACATGCTATCCACTCCTTGTACTGTATTTTACTGGACAGGGCCAACTCGTTGGTGGTCACAGGCCCCGCAGGCATGTCAGTGTCACTGGATGTCAGACAGTAATAAATTAAACCAATGACAGACCACAGCCAGCCTCCCTGTGCTCCTTCTTGTCAGAAGGTGACAGACCAGCAGCAAAAGACAAACTGGGGTGATAGCTTGTGGGCAAAGCTCTTGCTCAACAGAGAGCAAGGACCGGAGTTTGTATCCCCAGCACCCACATAAACAAGTCAGACTGAGCTCTCGGCTCAACTTGAGAGACTCTTCCTCAACATATTAAGTGGAAGACCTCTGGCCTCCACATGCTCAGGCGTTACACTCATGCACATGTACACACAAAAACATAAAAATCAAATTGAATTGGAGAGATGGCTCAACAGGTAGAAGCACTTGCAACAGGAGCCTGATGGCCCGAGTTCCATCCTCTGAACCACATGGTGCACATCTACCCCCAGCACTTCTGTGGGTGAGATGAGAGGCAGGCAGAATTCCCCCGGAAGCTCACCAGTGTCATATGCACAGTGGCCAAGGAAAGACCCTGCCTCAAGAATTGCCACATCTCTCTTATGTTGAAGTCAGAAGCTGCTAATGAGAAACAAGCCCCCATGTCTCTACTTCACTGTACAGTTACATCCCACCTGTCCGCACAACAGTGAGAGGAGCCCATCCCTCTCTCAGCTGTTCTCTAATGGACACAGCAACCAGTCCCTCTTCAGAGCTGCTGCCCAGAACATAAATGTCCACCCCTGGAATGTTAGAACATGCATCTTTTCTCATCTGAGAGATAGAAACTAGGAAAGTTTTGATTTTAAAAGAAAAGAGTAAAGAGATTCAACATGGGTACACTTTTGACTCAGTACCATGTACACGGCCAGGTGTCATAGGGACTCAGGACACGTAGGCTGTGTGGGGTGACAGGTCAGGGATGTAGGCCCTTCTAGTTCTGATCTCCCAAGCTGCCCTTGGTTTGAGGTCTGGTCACAGCCTATCTGGCCCCATCTCTCCTGGCCTATGGGTGGCCTTTCCACTGTGTCCTGCTGGCCTGGCCAGGCCTTTCTTGAGTGTTCCTGACCCCGAAGGGACTAAGGAGTTCTCTCCCATTTCACAGACCTCAAAAATGGGACTTGAAAGTGAGCCTCTTGGCCCAAGACTCTTAAGACCCTACCTGGGTTTCGGGAGTCCTCAGTTTGGCACCTGATCTGGGATCTGGAAATGTCTTGAAAAGGGGTGTGGGTTAGACAGGAGAAGGCAGGTCTCTAGGTCCTCCGGGAGCCCCAGCGATGGTGGGTGAGCCTGACCTTAAAACTGGAAAACTAGGTGAATATGGGGTGCTGGTGACCTTATTGCTAGGATAATAGCCAGTGAGGGTCTAAAAGTTTCCATGGCATGTGTTACCTCCCATCACAGTGTTCCACTAAGACCACATAGACACATACACACCTGTTCCTCTGTGAAGTCTCAGAGTCTCATCCCTCTGCAGGATCTGGATAGGCTTCTACACACTGCTACACAACAGATCCGTAAACGTGACACTGTGTGATTGTTGAACACAGATCACCAGGGCTGTATGCTGCTTATTCCATAGAATGCTTGTTTGCGTGTGGGATGCCCTGGGTTTTGTCCCCAGCACTGCATGGAAGTTGCTCTCTGACCTCTATAGGCACTTTAGTGTGCACACAAACATGACACAAAAATTTTTGTAATGTTCACTTGAAAGGCTATCCACAGCTGGGGCTGGAGAGCGGCTCAGCAGTTGACAGCACTGGCTGCTCTTGCAGAGGACCCGGGTTTCATTCTCAGCACCCACATGGTTGCTAACTATAACTCCATTTCCAGAGGATCTGACACCATCTTCTGGCCTTACTGCCTACGTGTATCCAGGTGCACCCGTGTCGTGCAATGCTGAGGAGGTCAGAAGAGGGTGTTAGATTCCCCTGGAACTAGAGTTAAGGACGGTTCGTAGAAGCCATGTGGGTGCTGGAAATCGAACCCGGGTCCTCTGCAAGAGTAGTCAGTGTTCTCAACTGCTGACCCATCTCTAGCCCCCATAAAATAACTTTTAGAAAGCTATCCAGGGGCTGAAGAGATGGATTAAGAACACTGGTTGTTCTTGCAGAAGACCCGTGTTTGAATCCCAGCACCCACATGGCAGCTAACAAACAACTGTCTGTAACTCCAATCCCAGGGGATCTGACAGCCTCCTCTGACCTCCACGGGCATTGCACGATGGGTGCTCTGTCCTACATGCAGGCAATACATGCATATACATGAAAATAATAAAAATTTTTAAAAAGCTATCCAAAGCTGTGTGCAGTGGTTGATGCCTACAATCCTAGCACTTGGGACTCCAAGGTAGGAGGATTGCCTTGATGTCAAGGCCAGCCTACGCTACATAGTTCAGGCTAGCCAAAGCTATAAGGCAACAGTATGAAATCTTGTCTCAAAAATGAAAAGGGCACTGGGGAGATGGCTGAGTTCCTAAAACACTGGCCTGAAGGTATGAGGACCTGAGTTCTGATTCCCAAAAACTGTATAAAAGAAATATTGGCACACTTGTAAGATGGGAGGCAGAGACAGGTGGATCCCTGGAGGCTTGCTGGCCAACTAGCTTAGTCTCTCTGGAGGGAAGTTGAGAGCCTCACAAACAAAAGATGGAAACCACCCAAGGAACAACACCTGAGGTGTCCACATGCAGGTGTGCACACATGTACACGCACACAATTAGAAAACAAAAATGACTGGCAACAGGGTTCAGTGGGTTAAATTTTGTTTTTCTTTTTGGTCTTTTTCAAGACAGGGTCTCCCAGTAGCTCCAGCTATCCTGGAACTCACTGTGTAGACCAGGCTGGCCTTGAACTCACAGAGGTCTGCCTGGCTTTGCCTCCAGAGTGCTGGGATTAAAGGCGTGCGCCACCACGCCCAGCTTGTTTTTGTTTTTAATATTTATTTATTTATTGGTCTTTGAGACCGGGTCTCCCCGTAGCCCCAGCTGTCCTGGAACTCACTATGTAGACCGGGCTGGCCTTGAACTCAGAGATCTGCCTCCTGAGTGCTGGGATTAAAGGCATGTGCCACCACACCTGGCTATTTATTTATTTATGTGCCTGCATGTAGGTGAGTGCACTGGTGTTGTGTACCCAGAGGACAGAAGAGGCTGTCAGATCCCCTGGAACTGGAGTTAGGAACAGTTAGCTGCCATGTGGGTGCTGGAATTTGAACCCGAGTCTTCTGCAAGAACAGTCAGTGTTCTTAACCACTGAGCCATGTCTCCAGTCCCTGTTTTTGTTTTGTTTTGTTTTGTTTTGTTTTGATTTTGAAAGAACATCTCCCTGTGGACCCAACTGACCTAGAACTCACTACATAGACCAGTCTGACTTTGATCTCATAGAGCTCTCACCTGCCTTTACTGCAAGTGCTGGGATTAAAGGTGTGTGCTAGCATGCCCAGCTTATTTGTATTTTTTAAATGTGTATGAGTGTCTTGCTTGCATGTAAGTGCTCCATGTCCATGCATTGCCCATCAAGGCCAGAAGGCCAGATCCCCTGGAACTGGACTTACAGGTGATTGTTAGCCACCTTGTGTGTGCTGGAAACCAATCCTGGGTCCTCTGCAAGAGCAGCCAGTGCTCTAAATCACAACCACTGAGCCATCTCTCTAGCCCCCAAAGCATTTTTTTCTTAAGCCAGAAAAAAGTCTGGGTGAAGTGGCCCAGCATTTGGGAAGCAGAAGCAGGCCTTGAGGCCAGCTGATCTACATAAGGAGTTATAAGCTACCATGGGCTAAAATCATGAGACACACAAAACACAGTTCCAGTCCATTCTCCAGGGAGGGCAGGACCAAGCCTGTGTGAGGGTCACCTTGTTGGACCCCCAGACCGGGGTACCCAACGTTCACGGGAGGTCACACCCCAGTAACTCAGACCTCAAATCGGGAGATGCAACAAGCATGAGGATTTATTACATCTGCAGACGGGCCTCCAGAAAGAGAAGCCCCAAATCAGCTCACAAGCTTCTTTTTAAAGGCAAAAACTACAAGCAGCGGCTATGTGCCAAGCAGAGGTAGGGGAGCATTTCTGGGATGATTTCCAGCTTGGGCAGGGAGCATGAAAAAGGTCAGCTCAGCTTGTTCTTAGCAGTTAGAATTATTTTTCATTTTTACTTCCTTGTACAGTTTTTCTCAGGCCTGGGGGATTTTAGTTTAAATCCATCATTTTGGAGGGACTTGGGTCCATCATTTGGGGGAACTTGGGTCCATCATTTCCCCCCTTTTCTTATAGTAAGATTTTAATCCTAAAATCTATAGATCTTCTGTTCATAGTAAGATTTTAATCCTAAAATCTATAGATCTGTTTCTTTTGAAGCATGGTATTGCTGAGTAAGAACCAGAGCCTGAGTTACTGACAGTCAGTCTGATAAATTGTAGCAGTCTATTGAGGATGCATGGTCTAAAAGTTAAAAGAAGGAGAAGAATTACTAGGGGACCTATTAGAGTGGATACTAAGGTAGTTAACCAGGGGCTTTTATTAAACCAGCCTTTAAACCATCCCTGTTTGGATTTATGGGTTTTTTTGTCTTTTATTTAATCTCTGGCGGAGTTTAGTCATAGAATCTTTAACAACCCCTGAGTTGTCAGCATAGAAACAACATTTTTTGCCTAGAGCTGCACAGAGTCCTCCTGGGTCAGAGCTCTTTTGGCGTGAGAAACGTGGATCCAAGCCGAGATCCCGTCTACTTTAAGGGCTGTGGGTGTAGTCAGGAGAACTGTGTAGGGTTCTTTCTACCGTGGTTCAAGAGTCTTTACATTGTGTCTTCTCACGTACACCTGATCTCCAATTTGGTAGGAGTGAGGCGTTTGTGGACTCCCAGGCCGGTAGACAGCAGCCAAAGGCTTCCAATCCTGGTTCCGGATAATCTGAAGGGCTTGAAGTCTTGTTTTCAGGCTGGGGTTATCAAAAGAAGAGGGCAAGGGGGACAAGGTTACATCAAGGACAGGAGGCGGTCCTCCAAAAAGGATTTCATAGGGGGTTAAGCCGTGTATAGCAGGAGTATTTCTAGCCCGAAATAAGGCTAGAGGTAGGAGTTGTACCCA